TGAACAACAAGCTGATGGCAAAGGCAGCCAACAGCCTCCTGGCCTGCATTAGGAAGGGCATTGAAAGCATTTAGAGTGATCTTTTGTCTCTACTCAACACTGGTAAAACCACACCTGGAGTACTGTATCCGGTTGTGGTTCCCCAGTACTAGAAAGAGATGCACTTACTGGACCAAGTTCAGTGAAGGGCTACGAAGATGACTAGGGGACTGGAGCATCTCTCATACAAGGAAAGGCTGAAAGAGCTGAGACTGATCAGTCTGGAGAAGAAAGGCTCAGGGGGATCTTGCTTATGTGTATAAATACCTGATGGGTTGGAATGAAGAGTACAGAGCTAGACTCTTCACAGTTGTGCCAAGAGACATGACAAGAGGCAATGGGCACAAATCAAAAACCATGAAATTCCATCTGAACACAAGAAAACACTGTTCTGCTGTAAGGCTGGTCAAACACATAGCTCAGGGAAGCTGAGACAATCAACAACCAAGTGGGCATGGTCCTGAGCAAACAAGTTCTAGCTGACCCTGTTTGAGCAAGGGGGCTGGATTAGATGGTTTCATGAGGTGTTTTCCAACAAAAACAATTCTGTGATTCTGAGCAATATGGCTGTCTATGACTATCTAATGTGAGGATGTAGAGCAGACTAAGTCGGGCTTTTGGTTTTTATTTTTTCAGAGATGCTTAGTGGAAGGACAAGAATGAACAGTGCAAGTTTCAATTAATGGAGGGGAAACTTTTTTTGCCATGGCAGTGGTCGGCCCAGTGTGGCCATGAAATCCTGTCCTTGGAAATAAACAAAATATAACCATACAAGCAGCTTAATCTAACTGGACCTGCTTTAAGTGGGTTTCAGACTAGGTGATCTCCACAGGTCCATCTCATGCTGAATGATTTCATGATTATCAAGACCCGGATTTAAAAAACACAACCTGTCACAGCTTAACATATTTGTGTAAAAAATTAAAGAGTACAACTCAAAGGATAGCACTGCAAGGGCGGGTAATAAAACTTGCAGTGAATAAATGATTTGCCTACATATATATGCAAAGTCCTGTTTCGTGCACTAGTGAGCTCACTGTTGTAATGAGAGTGGTTCAGAGGTTGGCAGATGGCCATCACATCGGTGCCTGTGCAAGGGTGGGGGCAGATGAGGGGGGAAGCAAGCTATGCTAGGTTAGCCTCACAAGATAAAACATGCTTGTGGCTCTGCATATGCAGATGGGAACAAGTGAACTACCTCAGGTTACTATGGCAATGAGATAAGATGTGCTTGGGACTCCACATACTTGGATGAGGGAGATGAACTGTCCTGGGTTACTGTAACAAAGTCTTCTTGAGCCCTACACCACACTTATCTCTCATTCTTCTCTGAAGGCTCTAGTTCTCCTTCAGAAGCCCATTAACTGTTCTCAGTAAAGGAGTCAACACTGGTCTCTACAGGTGCCACAGCTAGAGATAGAGGATACTTACATAAGCTCCCAGCACAGGAGGCAAGTTATATGGTACACTGTCAAGTGCCTGGCTTAGAAACTACAGCAAGGGTTTTGCCTTCCTGAAATGCACACTAAGCTGATCACAGTGGATATTCTGCTATAAAAGCTGCAACTGGATGGGTTCTGTGCCTTTACAGAGGCAAGCACACATTCACTTCTAATCACACTAAGAACAAACCCTGCAATTTGGTAGCTTCTACACAAAACAATTGGTACAAGGCAGACTATTTTTCAGAAAAAGTGAATAATGAAACTAACATGTTTGATCCTATTCAAAGCTTCATATTTTCTAGTCACATTGCTTCTCTGCCTTTCTAATGGATCCCACTTTCACAATAACCACACAAAAAAAAAACCTCTTTTGCCAGCTTTTGACACTACAAAAAGAAGGTAAAAGTCAGTCTTACCATATGAGGTCTGGATTTTGATGTAGCAAGGACACAGGCAGGCACTGGTGCCTCTCATGAGGAATACAGTTTTGTTTTCTGATTTTTTTTTTGTCAATTTAGGAAGTTGAAAGAAGACAATACCCCACGGTACAAAAAGTAAGCAAAATTTCTAAGCTGCACATTTTCACAGAGCCAAAAAAAAACCAAGCCAAAAAACAAAGCACCACCTGAAGTTCGAGTCTTGAAAGATAGGTAGGTACTATACAGAACAAAGAACATGTGTTCTATAGGGCCAGAATACCTTGATGAGACTACTAAAACCTTTAGCACTATTTAAAACAGTCTCATCCCTTTTAGAGTTATTACTGACCAGTCTTCTTGTCCTGATACACACAAAAAATAAGACAAACAAGCACTACACACTACACCTAGATACCCACAAACCTTGCATGAAAGTAATCATTTGAGAAGATGAACACTCTCTGTACTAACCCAGATCACTTTTTGGTTTTTAGGAGTTTTTTTGCCTTGTTTGGGCTTTTATGTAGAGATAGGAGTAGATTTTCTCGGTTTGGTCTGTTCTTTTCCCTTTTCCAGCATCACTGATGTTTTTGAGCCTGGAATGGCATCACAAATTACTCTTCATTATATCAGGAACCTTTAATAGCAAAAAGCAAAGGGAAAGAAAGAGAAAGATGACTACCTGAAGCAAAGCGTTTTGAAAAATTATGTACAAGCAATATTTATTACATTGCCAGAACGGAACAATAACCAATTTTAACAAATTACCTGCAGTTTCAGAACACATATGAATGCTCTGTAATCAGTGACCTCAACAATTGCACCCATCTGCCACCCAGTGTCCATTTGCCTTTTTCCCATCTTACCACACCACACGATATGAAGCCTGAAGAAGACGATCTGCTGAGATGAACTCTACATTATTATGTGTATTCTAGTTGAATGTTACCAGCAAATTAGACTTCTATCAGAAGTAAGAAAATTAGGGTGAAGAAACTAAATCAACATGACTGATCCTAACAAATTATTCAATGAGTCTAATCAGAAAAGAAATCTTTTTTCTTTTCTTTTTTCCTGTATGTACCCAACAATATACAGGAAATGATGGAGTAGAAGGAAATAGCATTGGAGGAGGCCCTTAAATTTATGACGGGGAGAAAGTGGGAGGGCATGGCATAAAACTAACACCTACTAATATCCTTTAGAGTCTCAAATTAATTAGCATGTGGAAAAATACTTGCCTATTACCTGAAGGCATAAGTTGAGTTAATTCAAACTTCATTATCTTACCTGGAAGATGAAAAATAAATTATAGCAGCGTGGATGAATAATTAGAATAGATTTACTGTTTAATTTTCAAATACAAAATAACATACAATAAAATACAGTAAAGTACAGGAAAAACACTGTTTTCACCAGTTCCAGGTGTTAGAATGACATGTAAAATAGCAGAAAAACCTTTTATCTATCATTTATTTGGATCTTCATTTACATCATATGTCTTCCATAAAGACAAAAATCTTGACTAGATGATAACTGTGTAAGAATTGAGGTATCATATTGCATCCATAACAATCATATCTGAAGCAAAAAAAATTCAATTACCCTCATAGTACACTGTTACCATTACTGAGATTAGGTAAGAACTGTCCATGAGAGAGACGACCTCTCATTACCATTCCTGTCAAAGCTCCAGATCACGAAATCTTAAAGAAATGTGAAGTTCCACTCCAGGAATAGGCCTATTACTGCATCTTATTATGTAGAAATAAGAACAACATATCAGTTGTAAAGTAAAATAACATTATGCATGAAATACAGCTTGTGCAAGCTTGTTTCTAGCCTAAGGCATCCGACAAATGAAAGTCACCTCATGAGACAAGAAAAGCAAAACAGGAGGAAGGCATTCATTCTGTCTCTTTGTGTTGATCCAAGATG